TTCCTTCGCCCGGTCTCTTAATTTCATCATCATTGACATTATTTAGCATTAAGATTACCGCTCCTATATTGATCAGGTATTACAAAATTAATATTTTAGATATAACAGCCAAGATACTATGTTATTTAGTTTAGTAAATTTCCGTTGTATGGTCCTTTGCGTAGTCGTCTTTTTAGACAGATTTTAACGAATATACCCTTTAATACACTCTGCAATTGTCATGTCTTCTTTCATCAGTGGACCGTTAATTAGGTGCATTCCATGTTGGTAGTTGGAATTGTCAGTGTTTAGTTCTATCGTTAGCATCAAGCTACAATTCATGAACGTGAAGTTTGTCTTTAGGCATCACTAACGATCTCGCAAATATTTTAAAAGCTTGATAAAAAATGACGGGTAAAACATACCTGAAGTTTGACTAAAAGGGATCTTGTCTATTAACTTGGACTGCACAAGCCAAACCTGTGTCCAGCTTTGCACAATTGGCTTATTTTGATTTGTCACATTCTTCAGCCTCTTGAATATAACTTTATTTTGCTTTCATACTTTTAGTAAGTAGTAGAGCTCTGCATGATTGTTAACCCCTAAATGCCCTTCTGTTTCTCGCTGTTTTGCTTCTTCAGAGTTCCTTGTTTTAAAAATTTGTTCATATTCAGTTAAATATATTCAATTTTTGTTAATTTTTTTAAATTGAAAGGCTTACTTTCATTTCAAGCATCATTATGTGCTGGAACGTTGGTGTATAGCTATTAGTGACTATCTTATCTACCATGAACTATGGATTATATGTGCTATTTTACCACCATTATTGCTTTTTTAGGAAGAGGTTTGTCATGGCCTCAAAGAAGCTCTTAAAGCCATCTCTGTTTCGCCTATTGGAGTCTACGTTATTGCCAGTACTCTTGGCTCTTTGGAATCCCTCCTTGTTTATTTGGATTCGGTCGAGATTCCGGTAAATATCTATCATTGTTCATGCTTTTGTACTTACTATTAGCATCTTCACATATGTTTTTTTATTTCACAATGATCCTTACCTGTCTCATGTAATTAAATTATTTTTTGAAAATGTTCACCTTTATATAGATATTTATTTTTTACATATTTATATTTCATTAGCTAATATTTTTTTATATTTTCTTTGTTAGCATTTAGATTTTATATTCATATAAAGTATGTTTCAAAGTCTTCAGTAAATCCTGAATAAGAGTTCCAGTCCCTCTGGATCGCATGAAGCGGTGAAGGACTGATAGTTGAATTTTCTCACAATGATATGAGTAGGCCTTATGTTTCCATTGAATTTGATTTAGCCCTGCTTCCAAACTATTCTCGTCCATACTAGACTGCAGCCTCGACCTTGCCTAAGTCTTATCAATATCCGTATTTTTATAAATGACAGAAAACAGTGCACGGAGAAAATTGAAAGCATACTCGGAGACAAGCATTTATCGTTTACAAATAAATGACCAACAATGAAGATCACCAGAGTAGGCTGATCAACGGACATGCTGAAAGGAATGCATAGGAACCGGGAAAGGGAAGTAGGATGAGAAAATCACTATTTAGAACAAAACAGGGGCG